ATCCATTCGTAATTGAATTATGGGTATTTTGCAGTTGTTTACTGTCTTGTTGTTCCACAAACACAAAAGTGAAAAACAGCATTCTCCATTCATTATTATCCAGTTAAGATTCATAAAGGAACTTGGTAAAAATAGAGGCTGTATGCAGTGGAATCTTTTCACTGCAGCTCAATCTGAGCCCTCGTGAATCCATTTCATATGCATGAGACTTAAACCCATTTGTATTCCCAGCTGCAGGTTAACCTCTGCTGTGAGCTGGATCAATTTCCAGCACACAGTCTCAATTTGGTATTTGCGGTGCCTGTAGTTATCCCTTGTATTTGCACATTCAAAGTACAGTGAGTCCCAGATTTTGAGTGTGATTTGTGTAAGCTGACATGAAGTAGTGGCGATAATCAGTGAGATCCTACCTCTTGTCTTGGTGTTGTTATGATAATCCAGACTTTGGGCTACAACTGTCAGCAGTGGCTCTCTAACATGGTCTCTCCCAGGGACGGCAGCTGGCTACCTCGTATTTAAAGTCTTTCCCTAAGTGAACACAATGCTTGCCCAGACAACTTGGAGGCCACAGCCTCAGTCTCTGACAAGAAAACATAGCTGTGTCTTGCCACAAGGGGTCTCTGTAACCTCGGAAACTGGACAAAGATAGGGGGGGGGGGGTTCAGATCACTGGGGATTTATTTGGAGTGATCCTTTCTTTTTGGTAATATGACAAGTGTAAAAGTTTGGAAATATGTTAGTAGGTGTTGAGAAATGCCTTGCTAAAGAGCAATTAGGCAGTCTGTTGGTAAGTGTATAATTATGCCTTTCTTTCTTACTACAACTTAAATTCATTATTTTCTAGAAGACACATTAAAGACTGAGAACATGATATCCGTTTGTTTTTGCAGATATTGTTGTGGCAAAAGCACCACCATTATGTTGTGGCTGAAATGAAGAGAAGAGACGTAGTTCTTGGAGTTGCAAACCAGTGGGACTGTTTAATGCACACAATGGCAATTCTTAAGAAATCCAAAGTATTAGTTCTTACAGCTGACTCTTATAGTCTAAAGTCAGCCCCTTGTGTCACTTTCCACCAATCAAACCCGTCGATTAAACCACGAACACAGCACATCTGGTTTCCTCATTATGTCATGCTCTCATGTCCTCGTCTGGTTCATGACATTCTGGCAGGACAAATAATACATGTACCGGAAATGTTTGGAGTCAATTGATATATTCAAATTCATCTGGCGCGCCTTTATCACTTTCTAGGAATGTTCTTATGAAACCAAGTGTGCTAAATTGAACATAACAAGTTATATGAAGATTTTCTTCAACAATATAAGCTATTGTTTTCTCTTAATGTTTGGTCAAAGAATAGTCACACCATCATCATTGTTTTTTAATTGTTGCCACAAAAATGCACTAGCTTTTCAGGTAAATTTCAGGTAACTTTAATCTTACATTGTTTTTAGGTTTATTTTGTAAACATCTGCCTTTGGGACTGCAGATGAAAAATAGCGTTTTGGCTAACTCTGGCACATTTGCAGAAATGTTTTTATTAATGTGCACTGTCCCGTTCAAATAAACCAATAAATAAATAAATTAAATTAATTAATCAGACCCATTTGATTCAGTGAAAATGACCAGTGATAGTAGTTTCTAGGCGCTTCCTTTATGGACAAAGTATTCAAAAACCTTGGGATGGTGGCGTAGAATATAACATGTGGGCACCTTGTTTTCTTTCAGTTCAGATTTTAATACATTAGAGATTTTGCTTTGCATGCTAGACCTCTGTGAAATGTGTTTATTTCAAAATCCTTTAAAAAAATGTAAACAGTAGATTTAACACGTAGATGCTATTGTTTTCTAATGAGATGTCTTATGCAGTGATTTCCACGACAGTGTTGGTCTGACCAGCTGGAGGATTTTCTCTTGCAGACCACAGTGGATGAGCCATCTTGGCTGCAGTCTTTACTCACCCCCCTTGGAAAGTCTGTCCCACATAGCAGCAGCATCAGATCAGATCCATGCTAGCAGTGTGTTTACTGCTTTCCTCTTTACATTCACCGCTTCCTCTGAGCCACATCCAGCCAGCGAGTATATTATAATACAAAACAATCTCCCTGAAGAACTCCAGAGCTCTTCCCTCCCTCTTAGCTCAGATGCTTTTCCCTTTAATTATACCCGGGTCTTAAATTTAACCTTAAAAAAATACCAGTCCTTTTTTTTTTCATACAGTAAGACAGCCAGAAAACATGTGCACAAATATAGCAGGACGAGAGAAAAGACTGAAGGGTAGATGGAAAGGTATTCATATTTATTTGAGGTTCGGCCTAAACATAGTTACAAAGAGGTACAGACTGTCTTTGAGTCCCACATTTGGAGGTGAAACAACGCAGTCACAGGGGGGATGAAAGGCGATTCTGCTTCTTTGTTTCTCGGGCTCTAAAAATAGCACTTGCTGAGCAGGCAGTGAAGCTGAGCTGCAGTCCCCTCTCTTGCTCCCATTTCCTCTTTTCCTGTCCGTCACTCTGTACAATACATCATGTTAATGACGAGGTGGGCTCAGCTATTAGGTCAAGTTGGTCTTCTCCTATATTTAAATTGCTGTTATTTAACATACGACATGTAGCTTGGACCCAAGGAAGTGTTACTGATATGTTATGGTCTGTCTGTTTGGTGGTGAGTGTCACCTGCTGTGCATCCCTCTGCTGAAAGTAATAACACAGTTTAAGGTTGGGACTCTCTCTTTGTGATGGATGCTTTCGTTCTAAGAAATTATAAAGATGTCAAATAAAGAAAACACAAATCATCAGCTTGTCAGCTTTCCTATTCTGCACATGTTTTACTTGCAACAGGGGATCACACGTAGGTGATACTTATTTTCTGGAGCTGGTGACATCCAGTTATTATTCATAGCGTGATATCTTTTCTTTTCTTCAAAAGATACAAATCTAAGACTACTTATCCTTATCTTAGATGAAGCCACTAATCTGCTCATTTTCTGTCTTCTTTACACACAAAAAGAAAAAGGAAACCCTGCTGTTGCTAAGGCAGTTGATAAAGCTTGCTGCCACTTGTGTAGCAGTATCCAAGCAATTACACAATGCCAACAGGTCCAGCACATATTTATCAGTGTTGCTGCTGTTCTCGCATCCCTAGCAACCTTATGGTATTGTCCTGCAGATGAGTTCCTCACCCCCACACAGATACCATACTGCTGTATTCCTTCTATCTCACATTTATGGAGGGAAACAGTGCTAATGTCTTTTTTATGGAGAACTAATGTCTTATTTCGACACCAACAGAACTCATGGTTTCAAATCTCAAAAATGTATGTTGACGAATATTTTTTACATCTTTTTTTCACTGTACATTAATGCACAGTATGTGCAGGTACTTTAAGTTCTTAAATCCTACTCTTTATAGAAGAGTAGGATTTACAGTCAAAGAGAAGAGGTCAGTCAATTCATAATATTCGCAGTAGAGTGAATCATATGTTGCGTAAAGCTTTGGAGAGGAGGAATTTGCTTCACATTTCTTAACTGGCAGCCAAAACACCCTCACACAGTGGGAGTGATGGAGCACATATTTATATTCCTACTAACTTGAGGAGAAAGAAGTAAGAGGCAGAATGTGGGAGATCAATATACATTAACTAATAGAGACAAACAGCACAGAAACTGAATCATGCAGTCCATCCCCAATCACTGTTTTTTGTTAGTTTTTTACATTGAGACATTCTCCAGTAGAATCCTAGTTTTGCTTGGTAAGACAATGCATTGTAACATACCATCACACTTTCATATTGGTGAATGTGTTGCACGAGATTTTAGACAGGTAAGTCTCTGGTGGACGGAATTGGAAGGATGTTGACAAAGGGCCAGATGAGCACTGGTACAATGAAGTGGGAGGATCAAACAGCTCAGAGGCTGAGGAAGCAGAGGCAAAAGGTCAGTGGACTGCAGTGGTACAGAGCGTCTGACAAATACTCCATCCCTCAACAACACAGTTAATCAGATAGGGTAGACTTTTACCATGTGATGGCAATGCAAATACTGTACTTCAACTATATTTTCAATGTTAACTTGGCTAATGCCAGGCCATTTTTGCATTGATAAATGATTTGCCTCACAAAATTACACACATTATTTTAAAGTTATGGTTGTTCTTTGTTTGTGAGGATGCACAGAATATGATAAATAAATAGGGGATGTTGTAAGGGTATCTGTGGTCCCAGCAGAGTATTTTACGTTTTTGGTAACAGGAAAGAAAAAAAAACACTGCAAAGAAAGATATACTGAATATGCTGCACAATTGCTGCTGTTGTTCGACTACTTTAATGGTCCCCAATTCAACATTTCATGCTATTTCATCATCTCACATAAGAAAAGGTTGGGGCAGTGCAGCCACTTAAATGGGGACAGCCACTAATTACATTATCACTAATTGTGATACAAGATATACATAATTTTGAAGGTCAGCACACACTTTTTACTCATGAAAATTCTTGATATTTCATAAATCTTACATAATTGGTGCATAAATATTTTCAGGCAATTATCTTCGTTTGGAACATTGGAGATATTAATATGGTTATGGATTATGTACACATAAAAAAAAAAAAAAAACAGTGTAAAACACAGATTGCAATGATGATGTAAGCTTGTTGTTGACTTTCCCAGTCTGAATGACTGAGCAAAGGATAGGGGGTGGGGTGTCATTAATCTATGGCTAGTGATGACCAGACAAGCAGAAATGGGGTGTAGTGGGGGATGGGCGAGAACACTGTTGTTATGACTAGTGCTTGGATGCGGGACAAACTTCCAGAGGCCTCGGGATCTTTTTTTTTTCAATTCCATCTCATTGGTCGGTTTCAACGACGAAATGTGGCTCCATTTTGATGTGAACCTGTCAAACGGACCAGGAGCTAATTTTAATCAACGTGTGAGGGCGACTTTCACTTCAGCAAACCACGAGGTGTTGTTTGGTGCTATTGGAAATTAGGTTAGTCACCTATATAGCACTATATCCTGGTAATGCCAGGTTGAAATACTGCTATTGTGACGTATCTATGTATTAGCCAGTACTCTTACATAAATTATACATCATACTATGCCGTATTTGATCGAGGAGACGTTGAACACATTGTCGTCGTCAGCTCATTACATTGAGCTTTCGAAAGCGGCGCTTTAAAATAACAGTAGTTACAGGCAGCTCATTTTTGCATGACGGGTCACTCCACTGAGTCTAACGTCTGAAGCCGTTGCTGGGTCTTTACCGCCTGGCTTAAGTTTAAATATTATAACATATCGATAGTTATACACGTGCGTAAAAAAACAGTCTTGCAATCGATTAAAGAGATAACATGGTCTGACTTGAACACAAGAGCTGTGGAAGATATCGTCTATTGAATTTATCCAAGTAGGTACGAGATTATAGCAACACTGTCATTAGCATAGCATGCTAGTGTTAGCAACCTAGCTAGCGTGCTAGCAGGTTTAGAGCGATGTCAAGCTGGGCTCACTGTACTCGTCAGAAATGCTGTTTTAAATAAACTAACTTAATGTTATTGAAGTCAATTTTGTATACAAAAAAAATTGAAAATACAACGCTATTCCATATCGCGTTAGCTTCATTACTTTAACAACGGTATCTATTAACTGTTGGTGCCCTTCATCAAATAAACGAAATTGGCATGTGTGGTGACCGTTAACGTTACAACCGCCACCAATGCAAAACTAACGATAACTCGCGTGTTAGCTCGCGTGCTAACGTCCCGCAACGTGAGGTCATGACAGTGCGAATGGGGCCCCCACGGTAAATTTTGTTTTAAATGAACAGGCAATTACAGTTGTTAACGACGTAAATGCGAAGACGCAAGTAGATTGTGTTAATTTGACAATTACCTAGAGAGCTAGCGCCGATAAAGCCTGTTCTCAGTTCTCAGTACATCCACTTAGTGACCCGTGACATGCGGACGATTGTCAGCGTAGCATTACAGTAAGTTACAACAGTAACGAGGTCAATGATTGTTGCACTTTACAGAGACAGTGCTGCAATAAATTTCAGTTTTTCATTGATGGAAGAAGGTGGACATTTGATTCAGGCCTGTCTCACAGTAATAAAGTACATTTCAAGTCATTGGATTGTGCCTCACACAGCACGTCGGGTAACGTACACACTGTAGTTTGTTCAGCCCATTCACTCGCAACTGTGTGTGTCGGGGATGGGTCATGTATTTCAAGTAGCTATCTTGCTAATTTTGCGACCGGCAGATTAGCATAGACTTAACCTTGTATGCATTTAACGTGCACGAAATTAATCTGACCCTGAACCAGGCCCAACAGTCATGAAAGAAATGGCGACTAAGACACTACAGCCCTTGGCCCCCATTTGGTGATCCAGTACCAGAAGTGAAGATGTTGGTTACAATTGTAGGGACCAAGCATCTAAAATGTCTTTTATCAAGTTGTAATTACTCCATACAATACATCAGCATACGTCCCCTTTAATAACTATCATTCAGGTATAGCTACACCATGGGTAGCACAAATACCCACAGGCTGTTTGGGCTTTTTATATTGCTGACCCAGTTACTTCCATTGTTTGGTGACACACCCCTTTGTTCTTTACACTTTCTGCTCTCATCCTTTTTCACCCACACATTGACACGTTGCTGCTAAAATGTCAATTGTAATTAAGATAACTTGTCACAGCACCGATAGAGAAACACAATCTTATGTGCCTGTATGCTTCTTATGCTGCGTAACCAAGATTTAAATACATTAACATGAGCAAAAGTGTTACTTAGGCCGCTTAATAAACTACCATACATGGTGGGAGATAGTGGGTGCACAATATTGAGAAAATCAACATGTTCAATGCAAGTGATTTCATAGATCTGCATTTTAGGATCCAGATGTGATGCCCACTTGTGATTCTTTAGTATAATTCATCAGTTGGAAGTATTCAATTTGTTTTTTTACTCTCAGGGGCTGCGAGTTCTTGCTGAGGAGAACGGAGCTATGATGCACATCTGAAGACATCTCGATCACATGGGTAGGGTACCTCACTCTTTAATGTCACACCCTTTGTTTGTTTTTTTCCACACTTGTTTTTCATCTTTCTTTGGTTGTATGCTTTCTGGAAGATCACATTGCTACAGCAAAGTGTCTGTAATCGTCTAGAGAAGAGAGTGGTTGTAATATAGCTTTGTACCCAATCAGTGTCAGAATGAATGACTCTCTCAAGACCTTCAGGTTTAGATTGGGCACCACACAAAATGGTTGTGTTTGTTGAACAAATTATGCTTAGTCAAATCACATTAAAATATCTTTAATAACCAGTTGTTTGCACAGTGGTTCTATGTTACCACTAGAACTGTCCACTTGCCTGTAAATGTAATTCATTGTTGTTTCAGCAATAAGCTGAGGATTCGTGATTGTTTTTGTTCCGGTTAAAACAGAGAGTGAGCTCTCTGTCAGAATATATCGTACCACAACAAGAATTAAGACGGACCAAAAACCGATTGATAAAGGCCGTACACCACTGGTGGTATTTCATTGTCGTTTTGAGACCATAATGTTGCTCGGAGTCATTTTATTAGTGTGGTGGTTTCACTGCTAAATTGATACAGTAATCAAGGTTTGGTGTAGTGAGGCAACACTATGTGTATTCGCCCCAAACCGTTTGGTATGCGTCTTCTGTTCGGTACGCCTTGTGACCCAAACAGTAGTTCGCAGTGTCCGTCATTTAGAAATATTTGTCATATGGGACACTGTTCAAAACATAGATGCACGACTATGGAAGCTACAATTCTGAAACAATGGCACCTGAACCAAATATATGTTGGTTAGGAGTGTGCAGCAGTGGTTTTTTAAAAACATGTTTATGAATATCATAGCTGCTTTTAAATAACTTGTTTTATTTGATTGTAGGGAACAAAGCTTGTACATTACATGTTAGAGGGTTTTTATTTTGGAATTCTGCATCAGACACTGAGGTGGTCTGCTATCATTTTGAGGTGAAATTGTTTTGGGAGTGAGTGAAGCAAAATGTGGCGTTGTAGCCAAACAGGACAGTGATTTATTACTTAAAAGATTCTGTAGTGCTGCCAAATGATTTTCAGAATGTTTTTAATCTCAAAATTCCTGTGATAAAGTGCATGCTACATCACATATTGAAGTGCACTTGATACTCTGTTAACTACTATTCAACATTTTGAACTAATGCAAATCAGGGGCAAGAGAATCTTGCTGCTGGAAAAGTGAACTTGAAGTTAATACACTTTCTAACTAATTTAGTATAAAATGTGATAAATAATTTTCAAACAAGATTGTACCAACCATCTCTCTCTCAGTCAGTGATCTGTACAAGAGACTCACTCACTACTATGTTGGTACTGTTCAAATGTAGTCTGGGATTCTGGTAATGTGAGACTAACGTCAATGAGTTAAATATCCTTAAGGCGCTCCACTCGAGTTGATTGTGCCAATTCTAGTTTGACAGACAGCTACTTCATAGCCCCACAATTTGGGGAGTTATAATTCTGAATTATAAATGTGCTAAGCTTTCACATTTCATAGCATAGACTTGAAAGTCAACTGAGCAATTCTGATGACAACTTATTTGTTGTTTTGGCCCAACTTCTACTTTGCTAGCTGCTTATTAGGATGTCCTATGTGTTCTTATCACACCTATAACTGAAGATATTGTGAAACGATAACATTCAGTCATGCGAGGAGGTTATGTCATTTGCATGTGTAACTTGCTTGTGTCTCGTTAGCACAGGCATAATTAGATAAGCAGTGATCTGTCAGTGCTCTTAATCAATGCTGAGGTTCATAAAACAATCAAATATTGGACGTTATGTCAGCCACATGGAATGGTCGACATATTACTGTAAGTGAGCTCTGTCCCCGTTCACTGCTCCTGCATCACTTCCATGGTGATGACGTTTGCCGGCACCCTTTCAAAACAGGCTAGTGTCAGATATGCAAGAGTGCCATGTCAGCATAACTACACTGACCCTTTAAACAAAACACTCTGTAAGAGCATGACTACGGTAGTGGTGCAGCAGAAAAACCACATTTAGTTGGAGTTATGCAATATTTTATGTAGAAAGATTTTTGTTTTTATGGTTAACAGAAGTGAAGCCATTTGCTGAGTTCTAGTGGTCGTGCTTCGGTGTTAGAAACACGAGCCTACTAGCCATCAGGACTCTCTGAATCCTGATGGCTAGTAGGCTTCTTCTAGATTCCATGCCTCTTGGTTTAGTTGGTCTTGGACCTCAGCCTCTGGGAAACGGCAGGAGACATGTTGACTTTTTCAGCGGGCTGGCAGGATGGAAACAGTGGAGGTTCTGTCCCCAGTCCAGACCCCTTGTTTATTTCCACAGTCCCATTTCAAGAGTGCGGGTTCTGCATGAATAAATATGGAGCCCAGACGCAAGCACTGTAGGACCTGTTATTGCCGAGGTTTAAAATCCATTTATTCCAGACGTTTTAGTCCAAAATACCCAGCCTGCCTCGTGAAGGCAGCTGGTAATTATTTCCAGTTGTAGGTTAATGAATGGAAACTGGTGCCCTGCCTAGAGCCAGAAGGCTTCTGTAGCCAATAAAACTGAGAAAGAATGAAACCTCATCATGCATCAAATGGCAGATCACAGCTTGCGTTTGCCTGCTTCTCTGTATGGAATTTGCAAGATCTAGGTCAAGCAAGGTGATGTTTTAACTTCTTCCTCTTCTCAGTTATCACAGTGTGTGCTAGTTTGTTAGTGAGCTATGTAGTTAGTTTGTAGTGTAACACCGTCCTTGGTGTGTGTGTGAGAGAGAGACGGCTCTCTTTAACTCTTGGCACAGTGCCCCTGCATATCATCTTACTGTTGACTATCATTACCCGGCATTTGAGTGATGAAGATACTTTGAAGATACGACTCAAACCTTCCTTCAGGAGTTCTATGTTGTGTAACACCACCACATTTTAATTAAGCAAGACCCCCTGCTTTGTGGTTTGCTTTTACAGGCTCCTATCCTATGCTGACCCAATGGTTTAATCACCAGGACTAAAAATGAGCATAAGCAGTGATGAAGTCAATTTCCTGGTTTACAGATACCTGCAAGAGTCAGGTAAGTCTTGCATTTTTTTTGTTTAGGTAAATCTCTCTCTGAATGCAGTCATATTTGCTGGGAATTGCACTTTTTAAATCTTTCAAATCTAATGTTTAATGCTGCTCTGGACTTTTTGTAATTGATCTTTCACTCCTTCCTACCTTTCAAATTATCCATGCGTCCTCCAGGCTTCTCCCACTCAGCATTCACCTTTGGCATAGAGAGCCACATCAGCCAGTCCAACATCAATGGAGCCCTTGTGCCCCCTGCTGCCCTCATCTCCATCATCCAGAAGGGCCTGCAGTATGTGGAGGCTGAAGTCAGCATCAATGAGGTCAGGCTCCCTCTTTAAACCGTCAACTACTTATTAGTGTAACTCCACAACACGCTGGCAAGGAGAGGTGTACTGTCAGCTTTATCTTGACTCCAGCTCGTCTGTTTGGACTCTATGTTTTAGTGAATCGGTGGAATATATGAAGGATAATGAATATAAAAATGGTGTTGTCTCTGTAGGACGGGACCTTGTTTGACGGGCGGCCCATAGAGTCGCTATCTCTGATCGATGCTGTGATGCCAGATGTCGTCCAAACCAGGCAGCAGGCCTACAGGGACAAGATGGCCCAGCAGCAGCATCATCAGCAGCAGGCGGCAGGCAGTGGCAGCGGCACAGTGCCCCAGGGAAGCACCAAGAACGGAGAGGGCGATGCCAACGGGGAGGAAAACGGATCCCACGCCTTAGCCAGTAAGCTAGCTCATGATTGTAAACAATCTCTAAATCTGCTCCTTAACAAACGATGTGTTTTCTTGTGCTAGGCGGGGAAAAAATGGTTCCAGAGATGTTTTATGGTCTTATGCAGGATTTTATTCCATCGTTAAATGCTTCAACATAATCTGATTCATGGTTATAAGGTGCAGTGGAAGCTGTTTGGCATTCACCCCTTTATCTGGTTTTTGATTTGTCACTGCGTATTTTTGTCTCCACTCACCTGAATGTGTGTCAGGGATGTACATTTCACTTTATGCTGCAGAGAGTTGATAAAAGGTGGGATGTCAAAGAACAACACAGAAGGAAATGGTCACGTTGATATTTTTATCAGTCAAAAAATGGACAAAAGAATGTATTGTAAGACACTTCTTATTGCATGGCGTTAAAGCTTACCACCTCCTGTTGTGTGTGTGTGTGTGTGTGTGTGTGTGTGTGTGTGTGTGTGTGTGTGTGTGTGTGTGTGTGTCTGCTATTTGCCTTTCTCCTGACAGCTGCAGTACAACATTTGGATTTGTTTTTTTGTAAAATGTCTGTGGGTTGCTTGGTATTACTCAAAGCTACGATGGTGTTTTCCTCACACTAGCACATGTGTTTCCTCATGGTTTTTGTCCATCCTGTGTAGAACTGTCTCCATGTTTTTAGTCACTTTTTCCCAGA